GAAATTAAAAAATTTTGAAATCTGTCAACCAATCTGCAATGTTCTCTACTATGTTAGGATTACAGTCATTGGCCACACTCTGAAGTTCTAATTTTACAAAGTATATTCCTCTGCCTCTAATAGGCCCATTCTAATAATTTAATCTTCCTATCTCTCATGGATAAAATAAGAGATAATGTCAGAAATTAACATTCATTTAACCTAGGCATTTCAGATACATGATATTATGCAATGGCTCCTTTTATCTAAACCATGTTTCTCAACCCCCAATATTAATAATATATGGATGCACTGAACACTGAAAGAAAACTAGGAATCTGGGATAACAGCATCTCCTGATTTCAACTTTATTTCTTTAAATGAGAAAGAATAAATGGCAATTCAAGTATATAATGTTGTAGAATATACTCATTTGACATCAGTAAGCAACTACGTGGATCATAACAAACTGTGGAAAACTCTTCAAGAGATGGGAATACCAGACCATCTTGCTGGTCTCCTAAGAAACCTGTACGTAGGTCAAGAAGCAACAGTTAGAACTTTATATGGAACAGCTCACTGGTTCAAAATTGAGAAAGGAGTACAAGGCTGTTTATTGTCACCTTGTTTATTTAACTTATGATGCAGAGCACATCATGCAAAATGCCAGGCTGGATGAGTTACAAGCTGGACTCAAGATTGCCAGAAGTATCAACAATCTCAGATATGCAGATAACACTTTAATTGCAGAAGCAAAGAGGAACTATAAACAGCCTCTTGATGAAGGTGAAAAGCTGGCTCAAAACTTAGTATTAAACTAAGATCACAGAATCTGGTTCCATCACTTCATGGCAAATAGAAGGAGAAAAGGTGGAAGCAGTGACATCTAAAATCACTGTGGATGGTGATTGCAGCCATGAAATTAGAAGATGCTTGCTTCTTGGCAGGAAAGCTATGACACACCTAGACAGTGTATTAAAAAACAAAGACATCACTTTGCCGACAAAGGTCCATATAGTCAAGGCTATGATCTTTCCAGTAGTCCTGTACAGATGTCACAGCTGGACCATAAAGAAGGCAGAGCACCAACAAATTGATGCTTTCAAATTGTGGTGCTGGAGAAGACTTGAGAGAGTCCCCCTGGACAGCAAGGAGATCAAACCAGTCAATCCAAAGGAGAATCAACGATGAATACTTGGAAGGACTGATGCTGAAGCTCCACTACTTTGGTCACCTGATGCAAAGAGCCGACACATTGGAAAAGACCCTGATGCTGAGAAAGACTGAGGGCAGAAAAAAGGGGAGGCAGAGAGTGAGATGGTTTGATGGCATCACCAATTCAATGGATATGAACTTGGGCAAACTCCAAGAGACGGCAAGGGACACGGAAGCCTAGTGTGCTGCAGTCCATGGGGTCACAGAGTCGGACACGACTTACCAAATGAACAACAAAAACCAACTCTGTTTCACTTATTTTACTGGCCTTTTCATAGTTTCTATTTAAGCTGCCAAATATGTTCCCATAAGCTCACCAGTGGACCTTTCATTCTAGGCCCCAAGACTGCAAATTGCCTCCCACACTGGGAGGTATCTCCAAGACTGATCTTCCACAGGGCTTACTGCCATTAACTAACACTGGTCTTTTCTGCTAACACAGTCTCTATGGGCCTTTATGCACCAACTCAAACTTTCTAAAATCAGTGTCAGAGCTGAAAAGAAGCTCAGAAGACATCTCATCCAGTCTCCCCCTGACTGAACACACAGAGGTCCCAAAAGAGCCACAGGAGAGAGAGGTCATACTGTGAATTACCTGCAAAGTCAGGGCCAAGGACTAATCCTCCATATAAAGGGCCAGGGGAGTTAGGTTTAGCAGGTGCCAGACACTTGATATTTACTCTCATTCAATCCCAAAGAAGCAGTGGCTCCATTTTGTGGATGATGAAACAGATCCAGAAGTAACATACCTGCTAAGTAGCCAGGTATGTAACAAGGGCAGGAATGAAACCAATCCTGTTTAGCAACATCATGCTCTCTTCATTGTATCTCTATGTTAAAAATTCCTAGACTTCAGTGCTCCTCCACCAACCTTAATCCATCCCGCATCACACTGCCATCAACCCAGTGTTAAATTCAAAGCACATGAGAACTAAGGAATCTAAAACAGACGGTGTCGGCAGGAGAAGCATACTGCTCAGGCTGCAGGGACATTTCATTTGTTTAAATGTTTTTTATTTAAAAAAAAAAAAAATTAAAGACCTTCATGGCACAACTTCTTCCCAGCACAATTTATGTTTTTGTTATACCAATTACAATACAATTACAACCAATAAATCATTAAGGTGGGGAGGGTAAACTTATGACTTCAAACTTAAAAGTGGGGGGAGGAGCACTTCAATGTTAAAAAAATACTAAAAAAAAAAAAACACCACCTTTCAGAGTAACTGCCAACACATCTGAGACTGGCATTCCAAATCCTGCCATCTAATCAATGCAGACAGGCAGTGCTGAGAAATGCAGTGTCCCAGTACAAGGTATGCAGATGAGGTAACTTACAGCAACACAGAAGTTGTTACTCTGTAAACCCTTGTCCCTCCCACCCACCCAACTGGGTCTTTTTTAAATTTTTCATGCTTCTGCAGTAACTCCTTAAGTAGCATTTTAAAACTTCTATTTCTTTTAAAAGGCTCTTGGGTAGCATTTCAGAGTCCTCTGCATTCACCTTCAGCTTCCTTCAAGGTCTGATGCATGTTAGGAAGTCCAGCTATTTGCAGCTTCCCACATCAGCCTCAGCTACACCTAGGTTGTTCTCTGAGCTACAAGGATGTGATGTAAAATCTTGATTTACAACCCTCCTCCCCACCTCAGAAGAAAGAATTCATTAGTCCTCTTCAAATCATAATCCAGTGCAAATGAAATCACAGACTGCATCTCTGGCACATCTGGCGCTTTGAGCTTCTGCACAGATTCAACATGGTAACCCCCTACAGCATTCTAGGGCAAAAAAGGGTCAAGAACAATAAATATCCACTGTATGTGGCCACAAAGAAGAAAATCACCCTGCCACACAGTCAGAATGTTTTCCCTATGGTGGAGAAACAAAAAAGAAGGCTTTAGCTTTCTCTAAAGTTTACCATTATATTTACTAAAGCCACCACCTTGATAAAGTTACTAGAGCCAAAATGGGTTACAAAGTTAGATAAGTTCATTAAATTCAACTCCTCAAACAATTATGTTTACCTCTGCTGCCCGGGTGAGAAAAATTTGTAAATCCATAAAGGTAGGAGAATGGGGAACTAAGACTTCAGGTCTTAAAATATGTTGGAAGAATTTTTCCTAGTCCCCACAAGCAGCTACTGTAATGGAATAACAGGAGATAATACAGAGCTGATGGTTTTGCTATTGTGCTTAAAAAACTAGGCTTCCTCAGTGAAGCACCTGATAAACTTAGGTGGTTGGATTACAGTGGAAAATCCACTTTACACACACACAAACACACAAAAACTGGCGACTTTTCCCATCCCCAATCCCTGCACTGCTGAGACACAAAATGATTTTATGGCAAAGGATCCTTAATCCCCAGAGACGCTTTGGCTTGTGGTGCTTTTTTAAGGCCTCTCTGCCCTGCCCGGTACCATGGGTTGAACGAGGGGTGTATAAAAATGGGGGCCTTGGGAAGCCTCCATGGTACAGGGCTGCAGGCCCTTCAGATGTGAACGTTGAGACACCCACCCAGCGAGACCTTTACACAGGGAACTTAAATCTAACCTTGATAAATAAAACCAAACGTTTATTTACACCAAAGAATTCCAACACTGGATCTTTCACATATGAAGGACAAAGTATTATATATATACACACAGCAAGGGGTGGCAGGGCTGTAACAAGAGAGTTTAGTTTTCCCACAATTACAGGTCTACCATTTCAGTTTCACTGGAGATAGTGGCTCTGCTCCTACCACTCAGATACATTTATAAACCTGAGGGGCAGGTCTTCTCATTGGATGACATATGAGGGAAGGGGAAGGTAGGAGGAAATGAAGGTAGAAAGCTGAAAATAAACTTCAGTGGCCACATCTCTCATTAGCTCTTAAAGAGTTGCTAGCATGAAACCTATTACATAGACAATGTTTTCCTTTTGTAAAAAGCAGTAAGTTATGCCCAATAACTAACTGAATTCAAAAGGGCCAAGTCAAAGAAAACTGAAAAAGATTTTACCTTCCCCCTCCTACCAGCTATAGAGCATGTTGGGAGATGAAAGGGCAGAGGACCAAGGTAAGGAGTCTGGGAGGGATGGTATTAAAGTTTTAAACTAAACAAACTAAATGAGCTGGATTTAGGTTAGGTCAATAAGACATGATTCAAACTGCACGGAAGCTTTCAGGACCTGTCTGCACTTTGGGTAGATTTTTAGCTTCTCAATGTAACTAAGACATATTTCCACTAGATTCACCAGGATAACCCCACTGAAGCACTTTTGGAGTAAAGTGATGTAAGTGACTAGCAGTGCACTGCTTTTATAGGTTGGGTCCTCCCTTCCTCCTTCCTTCCCACCTCCCTTGAAGAAGCTACATTTTTGTAATCTCTGGAGAAGAGTGTGAAGTACAACCCCCCCAGAGTGTGGGATGGTAGGGGAGCAATGGTGAGCATGGGAAGAAATCTCCACCCAAACACAGCGGCTGGAATTGAGGCTGGTTTATCTTTGATCTTTAGTGATGAGAAACTGAATTTGGAAGGGGAGAAAAAAATTTGTCTGTGAAATAGTCCACCTGCAGATAATTTTTCAGGGAATCCCCTGAGTTATGAAAAGTTCGAGTTAAAAAAAAAAAAGAAAAAAAGAAAAAAAAAAGAAAATCAGCCTATTATAATTTTTTTTTTATGACTGAACTACTATAAATCCACAAGCAACGGTTCAGACACGGTGCTTCTGAAGTATTTCACCCCTCCCCGCCAGGCGCAAGCTGCATCAAGGGAGAGAGTGGACTCCCCAACCTCTGCTCAGGCATCAGGAGACAGAAGGGGCCGTTACTGCTGAGCGCCGGCGGCAGCTGGAACAGGCATCCCAAGGGGGTTGGCAGCAGCAATCACTGGTGAGCCCGCCAGAGGTCCAAGGGGTGAAGGGGTTGGCACTGAAGAAATCCCTGAAAGAAAACAGCTGACAGTGAGCTAGAAGCACCAACCACAGAACTCTTAAGTCACCAGTTTTTCAAAGCACCTATCTCAAAAGTGACACAACAAATACTCTTTATTGAATGCCTTGCCTTAATTTTTATAAAGTAACTTCAAATTAAATCCTCACAAATTAAAAGTTAAGTTCCAATAAATTTAGAAGACAGAGAAGGAAATCTAAGTTTGGAGAGTTTGAGCAGTTTGTCCAAGGTGCACAGCTAAGTAGTAGGTATGTATGCCTGGATTCCAACCCAAGACTGTCTAAGATAACACAGTCCAACCAAACCTTCTGCTCTGTAACCTGTACTAACATGACAGTCACTAGCCACATGTGACTACTGAGCATTTGCAATGTGTAACTAAACTAAGCAACTGATTTTACAATTGTATTTGACTTCAGTGAATTTAAATAGCCACATGTGGCTAGTCACTACAAACTGAACAGCAGAAGGCTAGAGTCAAAGTTCATGTGCTCGTGGCCACTGTGCCTAGAGTCAGCCGGTGCAGAGAGGATCATTTCTCATCTCTAAATTAAAATAGTGTTTTAGGATTTATTTTCACTTACTTTCTTGATCATATTACCTGTTACATTGCCCTCAGTCAGCTAGTTCTTTAAATTTTCAAAATATTATATATATTTTCTGAATATGTAATATGGTTACATGACTCAAATAACTGCAAAGAGGATACAGTGAGAATTCTCCCTTGTCCTATAACTTGGTCAACTTACAGCACTATTTTTGGGTGTATCATTCCAGAAATATTTTATGGGTATACTTGAATTTTATAAAACATGCATATAAGAATCACATATAAGAACTTGATTCTATGTTCTTGCCCATTCCTAGTCTTGAGCATGGTTCTGCATCTTGCTTCTTTTCACCTCACATTATTACCTTTGAGTTGAAGCTACAAAAGAACACGAAACACTTGTTCTATTCTCGGAGTATATAGTTCTCTGCTGAAAGGATGCCCCATAATTCATCTTATCAATTCCACAAGGAGCTGTTTTTAATGTTCTCTGATTACAAATATGGCTAGAATGAGTAACCTTGGGTATGTATCATTTTGTACACTTGCATGATACCCAGAGGTTGAACTCTAGAAGGCAGCTAGTTCTTAAAATAAAAAAAAAAAAAAAAATTGAAACAGCAATTTTTTGAAGGTGTCCGAATAGGTGCTCACAAGAGTACCCATGCGGGTGCTGCCCATGTATATAATTCTTAGGGGACAGGCCTATGATTTCTTTTGGGTAATTGTGGTTTCTTCTTGGTAAAAACTCACTCTAAATCATAATGACTCAACAACAATAAAAAGTAATTGCACACAAACCATTGTAATTTACGAGGCACCCTGTAGCTGCTCTGGAAAAAAGAATCATTTTTATACACATATGTACCCATGTACAAACCCCATCTCTACTCTCCCTCATTTTCTTATGTGATGAGGACCACATCACCTACTGCCACTCTAACCTGTGAGATGAAAGGATCTCTTCATTCTTAATGGTTTGTTGAGACTGTCAAGTCCCAAACAACTTTTGTGATTCTGGCCTCAAAGAGACTGTTGATACTCAAACTCAGCGATGCCCAACCTTTCTGGCACCAGGAACTGATTTCACGGAAGCTTATTTTTCCATAGACTGGGGTTGTGGGGAATGGTTTCCGGATGATTCAAACACATTATATTTATTGTGTGCTTTATTTCTAACCTAATGCCACTGCTGATCTGACAGGAGGTACTGTTCTGTGGCCCAGAGGTTGGGGGACACTTGCTCTAACTACTAAGGGATAACAGGTTTCAAAAGCATCCTGAAACCTGGTGGAGAGAGCCACACAAATCAGTATGTTAATAAGGTAATCATTATAAAGGAGAGCCATAGAAATCAGGCCACAAAGAAGGAGCAAAATTAAGAATGACAATTGACTTCTATAACAAAAAAAAGAAATTTAACAAAAAAAAGAAATTTACCAATGACACTAACCTGACATCATATTGGCGCTGCTGACTGGCGTACTGCCCCCTGGCATGCTAGATGAGCCCATTCGAGCCTGGTCCTTCACAACAGTGTCTAGAAAAAGAGACAAAAATGTTAGGTTCTGTTATGCTTGAAGAACTGAACTAATGGTCTAGGGTCTTATAGCAGCCATCCTGATTCTTTACATTTTATTTAGACTTTGTATTATTCCCCTAATAATAGAATTGAGGTGTCAACTACCTTCAATATGAAATCAACAAGTAATATAAAATAGAACTATTTTTGCTTAAAACTGTGAGAAAGACAAACTGTGAAAATGAAGTAATCATAGTAGAGATAATTTCTTAAAAAAAAAAAAAAGTATTTACTTTTGGACATGCTGCATGGCATGTGGGATCTTAGTTCCCCAACCAAGGATTGAACTTGTGCCCCCTGTGGTGGAAGCACAGTCTTAACTACTGGATTGACAGGGAAGTCCCAGTAGAGCTAATTTAAGACAAAAACAATCCTGTTACAGTTTAAGGAGACAATACAATCTACCCTACCTATCAGTATTATGTTATGAGAATGAATGAGTTTTGCTGCAGTTGGTCAAGCATGGTGCCAAATGGGCCAAAACTACAGGTCTGATCAAGTTACTGCTATGACCACAGACTTCACTCTCCATCTCGATCAGCCTGTCAGTCAGCTTCAAGTACAGGAGACTGAGCAAGAATATAATTGATTCACTAAAACACCATTCTACCACTCCCCAAGGAACAATCCGACACTGAAGCTAACATCACAGTGAGGATGCAGTGGAGCTAGCTAAGTGGCATTTTCACTCAAGACAGCAGAGTTAGCTATATTTACAAACCTAGATCAAGGTGTTCATATAATTAGATTTTCAAGCTTCTCTGGCTCTCTCCAATGAATGATTAATAGGACAAACATAGGGCTGTATGTTCTAATCCAACCACTCCAAACTAGCCACGAGAACTGTCGACCACACAATAAGAAAAGAAGTTTATTTAGGGATGATCATGTGTCAGGTATTCTGTTAGACAAGAATCCTCTCAACAATTCTGCAAGACAACTGCCATCACTATCCGCACTGAAGAGACCAAGGCTCACTGTGGGTGAAGTAACTTTGCAGCAAGCTAAGTAAGGGAGGCTGGGATTCCAATTGTGTTCTATGGGTCCGGAGCTTTCTTCACAGCATATATTCTCCCTTGCTCTGTAGAGTCTGCTGGGCAGGCCTGCAAGGATCTGTGGACTGAACAGCTGGACTCACAGAAATAGGGGTGCTCCATGGCCTCTCTTGCAGTGAGCCGTGACTGGTGGTCGTATCGCAGCAGCTTGTCCAGGAAATCCAAGGCCTCAGGACTGACAAGGTGCTGGTTTTCACTGTGGACAAAGCGTTCCCATCGCTTACGGGAATGTCTGCAGAGCCAAAAGGGAGAATGAGAAATGGACCCAGAGGGAGAGAAACCCAACATTTTAATCCTACATTTTCCTTAGTGGCTAGCATTCCAGCCAATCACAAAGAGAGGTCAAAACTCAAGAGCTAACTGGAGAGACTGGAAATGGCAGTGTTGCAGAAAAGAGAAATCTGGGTCCCCACAATTTTATGAAACATAATTCAGGTTATAGAAGGCTGGGCTGGTTGGCCTCCTCCCCACCCCCACCCATATTCCTGGCATCTCTACCACTTGGCCTCCAAAAGCCTTTGTAACAAGAAAGCCTACCTCTTCCTGTTAAGTGGTGAATGAATTAGTATTGGGTCTAGTCACTACTTTTAGAGTCTGTTGTCTGTAAACCAATCTGAAACATGCACTTTCTACGATTATCTCTTTCTCTTAGAAGGGGCTTTGTCATCTCCAGAAGCCAAGATAAATCTAGATTTTGATTTCTGACTCAACTACAACCCTTCTATTAGACTCTACAAGGTCAGGGATCCTCTGCCTACAACCTCCACACTCAGACTCCTGTTAGTGAATCTGGGAAAATGGCCATTCAATCCAAAGCTTTCATCACAGGCTTGCCTATGCAGTATCCATCCTGTAGCAGTGGATCACAGACACTTTGCAGGCAAACAGAACATTAACTATTTTGGGAATCCAAAGTATCATTTTACATCCAAAGTGCTTATGGCACAGATGCATTTTGTTTTATGACTTACCTGCCCAAGATATCGTTGAAACGTGGATCTAATTCAATGTTGTATTTGTCAATATAGTCATATAAATCTTCTGTCCCCAGAACCTTGGCTATCCTCACCAACTAGGATTAAAAGACAAAACCCACACCAAAAGCACATTACATGATCAAATCAACAATTAACCATGATCGAGTTAACAGAATGGGACCATCATGGCTACAGGTATGAATGCTACACCTGAAGGAATTCACTTCAAATTTCCTTGCATAGCATGAATGGATTTCCACACAACATTCACATTGTTGGATGTGAACATATCCCAACAATGTGAACATATCAAAAAGAAAAAACAAACTATTTTATAACCTGGTTCCTTCCCTCTGGTGAAGTCTCATCTATATTCCTGAAACCTGCATGGCACCTAATAAGAAGCTGCTGATTTTAACTGAATTCACCTGATATTCTTCAACTTAGTCATCTTCATATGAATTGCAATATGTAAGTCATATTTAAATAACATTCTTGGAATGATAAAATTGCAGAAATGGAGATTACAACATAGTAGTGTGAAGGCCGGGGGGAAGCTGGTGTGACTACAAAAGGGCAAATAAAGAATTCCTGAGGTGACAGGGATGTTCTGGTATTCTGGCTGTATTAACATCCTGGTTGTGATCCTGTACATAGTCGGCAAAAAGTTCTATTTGGGGGAAACTGGGTAAAAGATACACTATATCTCTCTCTATTAATTATGGCAACTTCACGTGAATTTGCTTCCCTGATGACTCAGCTGGTAAAGAACCCGCCTGCAATGTGGAAGACCTGGGTTGGGAAGATTCCCTGGAGAAGGGAAAGGCTACCTGCTCCAGTATTCTGGCCTGGAGAATTCTATGGACTGTATAGTCCAGGCAGTTGCAAAGAGTTGGATACAAGTGAGTGACTTTCACTTTCACATCGATTTACATTATCTCAAATTAAATCACTGTGCTCAAACAAGGCAACAGTATCTCCCACAAGGCCCTGGAATCATTATGTGAACAAGCCATTAATTGAAAATTATTCTGGAGTTTTACACTCAGAGATTCTAATTTATGAATAGCTCTCAGGTAGGGGTTAGGCATTTGTATTTTAGTAAGATTCATTGCAACTCCTAAGGAGTAAGCAGATCTGGCCATTGTGAGGGTACATCAATAAATTTCCCAACAGGAACAACATATATTACCTGATCATAATTGTCATGTCCATGGAAAAATGGCTCCTTCCGGAAGATCATACTTGCCAGCATACAACCCAAGCTCCACATATCCAAACTATAATCGTACATCTGCATTAAAGAAAGTGTCATCACACGTGAAATGACAAGATGAATCTTGTCACTTCAAATAAAAAGCTCTTTTTTAAAAATAGAAAAACAAATCCCACTCCATTGACTTTAAGGTCCAAATATCAGTATCTTTATATATTTCTTTTTAGTCTTTTCTTCTATGCATTTCCATTTATACTCCCTAACCCTCTCCTTTGAAACCTGTACCTACTATTTTGAATTACTTTCTTCACTTACATAAGAATACCCAATTGTTAGCTTATGGAAACCTTTTAATGTGTACCATTATTTTATAGCATGACTGTTTCAGAATTTAATCTTTAGTGTACCCTATAGTAGAATAGTGTTTTTCACCATTATAAATAATGCTGTAAAAAATATTTTTATGTATAAAATGTTCTTTGAATTCAGGGCTATACCAGAAAAGAAATTTCTAGGAGAGAGCCTGAACTTCTTTCAATTCTAAAAGCAGCTCTGGAATTTCTGATTACAAGTGTCTTTCTTTTCAGTTAGGATCAAATGCAGATTTATATTCTACTGACACTGTGACAATACACACAAAAGTTGTGGTAGATGAACTGAAGAGATTCATATTTTACACTCCTATAAAAGGGACAGTCATGGATGTGCAAAAATGGCCCATTAAAAATGCAAAAGAACATTTTTTAAAAATCACGTGCAAAACAAACATAGGACAAAAATTTTATCTGCCCTTCTCTTCTCACCTGATAGTCTACAAGTAGCTCAGGACCTTTGAAATATCGGGAAGCAACTCGGACATTATATTCTTGGCCAGGATGGTAAAACTCAGCCAAACCCCAGTCTATTAGCCGTAGCTGAAGGGAAAAAAAAGATAATAAATAAGTGTGTCTTTTAAGATAGCCCCCACAGTGCCATTACTTTTTTTTTTGGGGCCACATTGTGTGGCCTGTGGGATTTTTAGTTCCCCGACCAGGGATTGAACCTGGGCCCTTGGCAGTTAAGAATTCCCAAAACTACTCTTTTTAACATAAAATTATTTTCTGTTTCTGCAAATTTCAACTACTCCTCTGACTAAAATGTCTCTACTATCAACCTAGACTCCTATTCTGGTGAACATCTCTTCTGAGTTAACTCCTTCAGCGAAATCTTTTCTAATTATGTAAATAGAAGCAACTACTGTCTTTGAATTGCCTCCCCCACCAACCTCAGATAAATTTCTTTAATAGAATCTACAACTCTTTACTGAATATTTGCTTTCTACTTTTTAAAAAAATATGGACTGTAAGATCCTTGAGGGTAGGGACTTGTTTTATTCACCTTTGCCATTTTTAGAATTCAACGTAATGCTCAGGACACAGGAGAAAAATAAAAATACAACTCTTACCAAAATAGTATTGGGTTGGTCAAAAAGTTCCTTCGGTTTTTAAGTAAAAATAAAAGACACATTTTTCATTTTCACCAAGATCTTTATTGAACAATGTATTACTGTTTTGTTCTACTACATCCTGCCATTTTCCAGGCAATTTCACAATTCCATTTTCCCAACACTTTCTTTCTGAGTAAAGAACTGTTCCAGGTGCCTTTACAGTCTTACAGGAAACTGAAGTTTTTTCCACTAAGATAATTTCATAAAGACCAAAATAAACAGACATCCGAAGGTACAATGTCTGGTGAATATGGCAGATGAATCAGAACTTCCCAGCCAAGGTGCTGAACAGTTTTTGCCATCAAAGAAACATACGGTCTTGTGTCATCCTGGTGGAGGATTATGCATTTTCTGTTGACCAATTCTGCAGCGCTGCTTTCAGTTGGTCCAACTGGGAGCTGCACTTGTTGGGATTAATCGTTTAGTTTTCCAGAAGGAATTCATTATAGAGGACTCTCTTTCAACCCCACCACATATACAACATCACCTGCTTTGGATGAAGATTGGCTTTTGGTGTGGTTGATGGGTGGTTCATTTTGCTTGTCCCAAGATCTCTTCCATTCCACATTACCGTACAGTATCCACTTTCATCATCCGTCACAATTTGTTTTAAAAATGAACAATTTTGTTACGTTTAAGTATAGAGAATCACATGCGGAAATACGGTCAAGAAGGGTTTTTTACACTTAACTTATGTGGAACCCAAACATCAAAGTGGTTAACATAACCAAGCTGGTGCAAAGGATTTTCAACGCTTGATCTGGATATTTTGAGTATGTTGACTATCTCTTGCGTGGTATATAACATTGATTTTTTTCAATCAATGTCTCGATTTGATCGCTATCAACTTCAATTGGTCTACCTGACCAAACAGCATCATCCAGCGGGAAGTCTCCAATACAAAAGTTTGCAAACCACTTCTGACACAATCAGTCACAGTACCTTCTCCACACACTGCACAAATCTTTTTTTGCATTTCAGTTGCGTTTTCACCTCTCTTGAAACAATAAAACATAATATGCTGAAAATGTTGCTTTTTTTCTTCCATCTTCAACATTAAAATGGCTTCACAAAAATTCACCAATTTGGCTAAGTTTTTTTAAAAAATGCACACTGATAACAATATAATCCAACAAAATTATTTCTAATGAAGTTAAAGACAACTAAGTGCTACTAGAGTCATCGTATAGAGAAATAAACAAACTTTTTGGCCACCCCAATAGTAGCAAGGACAAGAGGCAACCTTATTTGACCTTCATGCAAAGCATGACCATAACTTGTGTGAGCAGAAGGGCCTGAGTAATGCCTGACTGCTCCAGCACTGTCTCCAAAACTTCGTTAATTAGGTTCAGTGTATTCTTTTAGAAAACAAAGGAAAGATAACAAAAAATATGAAAATGTAGCTTTTTAATAGTCTTTCTCCTCAACATCTTAATATCAGTGCTCCAGAGTTATTCCTGAATTTCCGGTCTTATCAGTTAAGTATTCCCAGATGACTATTTCTGGTCTTGTGGCTTCACACACAGCATCTCTGCTATTCCCACCTATATTTAGCCCACACCTCTCACCAGCCATCTCTCTCTGATCACCTGAAAGACATCTCAGAACTAAAACTCTGATTATTCACTGCAAAACTTGTTTTTCCCATGGAATCCTCCTCCTCCTCTGTTACCTTAAATGTAATTCCATTTATCCTGTCATTCAGGTTAAAAACTTTTCACACTGGACTCTTCTCTCCCTCTATCCCGCATCTAATCTGTCAGCATATCCTGATGGTTCTATCAGATTCTGACCCTATTATCACATCCACTGCCACCGCCCTGGTCCATGCTATCACCAATCTCTGATTTACTGCAATAGCTGCTTTTCTTAACTGGTCTACCTTTCACTTTTACCCTTGATTCTCCACACAGGAACCAAAATGATTCTCTTAAAAAATATTTTAAGATGGTTATAAATTCATAGGAATCTGGAGATGTTCTGTGTACCCTTCACCCAGTTTCCCCTGATGGTAATATCTTACGTCACTACAGTACAATATTAAAGCCAGGAAACTGACACAATTCAGAGACCTTTCTTTTCAACAGTTTTATATGTGTGTATAGTTCTACACAATTTTATCACATATGCAGATTCATACAGCTAGATTCATATCTAGTCCATGATTAGATAAAGAGCATCACAACAGTTATCCTTTATGCTACTCCTTCCTGACTTTCTAAGCCCTGGCAACCCTTCTGTGCTCTAACTCTGTCATTTTGAGAATTACAGAAATGGAACCATCAGTTTAACTTTTTGAGATTGCTTTTTTCACTCAGCATGAGACTTACCCAAGTTGTTGCATCATCAATAGTTCTTACTAATCAGTAATGATACTACAATGGTATAGATACATCAGAGTTTAAAGAATCATTTACCCAGCTGAAAGTTTCTGTATGGATCTCAGTCTGTTTCTCTGGGATAAATGTCACTGCGGGGTTGTTTGGTAAGCGTATGGTTAGTTTTTAAAGAAACTGACAAACTATAAAACAATACAGACTGACATTCTCCAAAATGAGTGTGCCACCTAACATTCTTACCAGCAATGTATGAGAGATTGAGTTACTCCGCATTCCTGTCTATTTGGAATTTTTCTTTAAAAATTTTAGCTGTACTAATAGATGTGTAGTAAACTTTTAAATACAGAAGGGAGAACTTATCAACTCTCTGCTCAAACTCTGCAAAAACCTCTATGTCTTCAGAGAAAAGGCCTGACAGTGATCTTCAAGGTTTTACAAGATACGGTTCTATTTATCTCTCGATCTCATTTCCTTCTCTTCCTCGTGTTCATTCTATCCTAGCTCTACCCTTGTGCTGTTTCAATATGCCAGGCACATTCTTGTCTCAGGGTTTTTGCATCTGCTATACTTTCTTCTCAAAACCACACAGCTAATTCAAGTGTTCTACAAAATGTCACCTTCCTAACGAAATCTTTTCCTTGTCACCCTGTTAAAAATTGCAACACCCTCTGACACTCCCCACTCCTGTTTTATTTTTCTTCCATACCACTTTAAACTCTGTATCCCACCAGTCTCCCTCAAGTGCAAGCTTCTATGGACAAGAATTTTTTGTTTTATACATACACCCCAGCCTCTAGAATAGTCCCCATTACACATAGTGTATAAATGTGTAACAGGATATTAACTGAATGAACAAATCACCTATATCTCCAAAGCCTGCAACAGAAAGCCATCACTGCATACAAAAGGTGGGCCTGGGTCACCTTAAAAAACAGAAATGTTATACTGCAACTAATACTCATGACACCTGCAGCAGCAGTTTCTGAATATTTCATACATTTTACAACTGTACACACTTAATCCTCATAATAACCTAGTGGCATATACAACAAATATTATTACTTGTATACCCCCATAAGAAAAAAAAGAGGCAGATGAGAAAAAGCATTTCCCAAGAGAGTAGTTTTTCAATAAATAAGATTAAAACCCAAACTAATGTTTTACCCACAACACTAATCTCTTTTATTTTTGAAAGGAATATGAATGAAGTTTTAAACATTGTGATTTTTAAAAAATTTGTTTTATTCTAGTTGATTTACAATGTTGTGTTAATTTCTGCTATACAGAAAAGTGATTCAGTTATACATATATATACATTCTTTTCCATATTTTTCTCCATATGGTTTATCACAGGATATTGAATATAGCTCCCTGTGCTATAAAATAGGACCCTGTTGTTCATCCATTCTATGTATGTTTTGCATCTGCTAATTCCATACTCCCAGCCCACCCCTCCCCCACCCACCTTCACTTTGGTATCCAGTCTGTGAGTCTGTTTCACAGGTAAGTTCATTTGTGCCATATTTTAGATTCCACACTGATTTGTTCACTGATTCATTCGTCAAACATTTATCAAGTGCCTAATAGGTACCACAGACTATGACAGATGCTAGGGATAAAATGTTGAAAGACGGGCTGTTAACTCTCTTGTGCTGATAAATAAGACTTGCCCTTCTATCACTTTACCTTTCTGTGCTCATGATCAATCATGACATTATGGGGCTTGACATCTCTGTGCATAATCCCCATGCTGTGGCAGTAATCCAGAGCCTGTGGGAGGAACACATAAAAAAGGGAAGAGTTAGCTTGTATAAGACATTTTTTTAGTTGAAGTCTCTTACTTTCTCTTCCAGTTTTCCTTCAAGCCTCCAACACTCCTGAGAGTCAAGGTTAGGACAATCACTTCCACAGGTATTTTTCAGAGACTTGTGCAAACCCACGGACTCTAAATTCCCAAGACCTGTTCCTGCAGAGGTATTTCAACATGTTTTTTGTTAAAAACTCAAAGTGTATACCAACTACTTCACTTCTAATTTCTCCCTCTTACCGAGAGCCTGCATTATTTTCACTAACATGAGCCCCTCAAAGGAAGAAACCTGACCTGTTCTACAAACCTCCTATTCAAAGAATAGTAAATCTCTAGCAGCTAAGAGTCTACAACAGAGGTCGGCAAACCATGATGCTCCCATGGGCCAAATAGGACCTGTGGTTTGTTTTTGTGAATGTTTTATTGGAATGTTTTTATAAATTGTTTTATTGTTTTTAATAGCCACAACTATTTGCTTGAATATTGCCTGTGGCTGCTTTCATGCTACAACAGCAGAGCTGAGTAGTGTGACCAAGACCCTCTAACCCACAAAGCCCAAAATTTTTAAAGCATTTGGCCGTGTAAAGAAGTTTGCAAACTCCTGATTTATGACATCAAATCCAATTTGAAAACCAAGTCCAACTTCAAACTAGTGAGAGGCATAACTTCTGGAGTTTGCTAATCCAGGCCTTCAAGCCAGCTGAAGCCACTGGCCAAATTTTTGTCCTTTCTGAAGGGCAACTTGGGTTCCTATGATACCCAGGGTTAGGCAAGCATATCCTTACCTTTGTGAAGTCCTGCGTGCTACAAGACTGCATGAGCCAATGAAAGATAAAATACTTCTGTTGGCACAGTTTCTATAGGGTACTTCTATAGTTCAAATGTAGACTTTATGTCAACCCTCATTTAGTAAGGCACTAGCCAACTCTTAGCAATTTTCTTACCTATAAAGCTGATCTTTTGAGTACTGTAAGCAATATATTTGGTGATCCTACTTTAGAAATCAAAGCTCATTCTAAATCAGCAACTTCTAAGCAGGGATTCACATAATCCTTAGGACAACAGCTCTTTGAGGGTTAAGTCAAAGTTTACTGTTTTATTTGCCCAATTTTAAGTGAAATAAAGTACATCAGAAGCCAGTACAACAGGAATTATTTTTGATAGAGATTACAAATGTTTGTTAAGGAGTCTTTTAACCTCTCTTCTAAATACCCTTTCCAAAGCATTATAAATTATATTCCTACTAGACCCTATCTTTCAATCAGTGTTAAGAGTTCTGAAGCTATTAGTTTATTAAGTATTTATAGAAACAGACTCCCCCACCCCAACAAATTTTACATAGTCAACCCACTGGCTTTTCTACAGTCATTTGGATTATTTAACAAAGGGGAGATCAATCCAAAGATATTTAGTATTCAAGAATCCCTTACCTTCAGAATCTCATACATGTAAAATCGAATATCATAGTCTGTTAACGTCTGGTACAATTGCTGTTAAAGACAAATGCAACATTTGAGCCATGAAATAGTACTGAAAAGAAGGCAACTTCTCATCCTCATTTGTAGTAATTCAAATCAAGACTTGGCTCATGTACCACTGTTCTAAGACCTGTCTGTTTACCAGTCTCTACTTCTCCAGCAAAACACTAACTTTAAAGAGATACTGTGGGTTTTCAACTCTATATGTAAAAGTGAAGAACTACTTAAGCTCATATTGTTCAAACTATAATCTACTTTTGGAAGCATACTAATTGATATTTGCAACATGTGCTGATACACAATTTCGGATTAGTTTGTTTCTCATTTACCTCTAGATCCTCTCATAAAAGGAATGTGGGCAAATATATCACCTCCTTAGTAGGGAATTAACCCACCTTTGGCCTACACAGTCATACCCACTGCAGATCACCAGTGGGTATGCAGATGGCTTGTTGCCAAACATATCAGGACAATTTAACAGAATATTTCTGCCCCAATTTGAAAGTAAACTTTTCTTCCTTGTTTTCCTCCTCTCAGCATAAGAATTCAATCATTTATTGACATCCAACACTTTTAATACTGGACTTGTGCAAACGCAAATCAAGTATTTCTGCAAGTTAAAATCCAAGGGAGTGCCCACATTCTTCTACTGTACTGGGATTGAGAACTGTTTGAATCTGGCTGGAGGTCAGAGATATCTATTTCAGGAGTTTGTGTTTTAGCAGAATTTACTACCACCCTTTCTTTCCCATCCATCTCTTTTTAAGATCAAGAGCCCAAAGTTTCTGAGGAATTCTAAGGTATAGCAAGCAGTCCTTGCTTTTATATATACAATATATTCCTTTTTGAACTTTGTCGTTTTTAAAGCAAAATGCTGTAAGGCCAGATCCTGATTAAACATGAGCTGTTGCTTTCATTAAGTTTGACATCAGTGGAAACTGTCAAATGAATGGTAAACTGTCAAATGGTGACAAACCTACGCACTGGTATTAAAGAGCATTAAACAAATAAAAGAGCAAAATACAAGATGTGGAGAGTGGGCACTATACAACAGTATGTCTATCTTTAAATTAATACTATCAGGATGATAGTATCTTCTAACAGTAACATCCCTAAAAGGTTTTTTATATGGCCTAAAACCCAGCTTGAAATGGTTGGTTATACATTATACCTTGAAGTCTGTGTTGTTTACGTGTTCAAAAACCAAGGCGGGAGTTCGTGACTAAGGGAAAGAAAAAGAAAACACACATTAGCAATAGACCTGGCAGCTTTAGTGGGCACAATGTTTGTGGACACTACGTGGTGCATTTGGCAGTCCTCGCCTCAGTAGTAGGAAACCCTCTATTGTTATAAGCCCTCCCCACTCTGATTATCACCACACTGAGGTCACTTTGGGGATGGATTTCAAACAGAAGACATGGAGCTGAAGTCTCACCAGGCTCTAGGCAGCCCGACAATGCGCCCATCGCCCATCGGCATCGGACCTGAGTTTGCAAAATGGATTAACACATTTCAGTTTCCAGTGCTATCAGTCTCTTAGCCTAGAAGAATAAGAAATAGTCTGTGGGTGGAGGTCTCTTTGAAAGAAAGACCCGAACTAGTCAAATGGTATAACTGATTAAGCACTTTTAAAGCAGGACTTAATGGCAGAGGGAAGAACAGAAAGAGGCCAGTTGTGCTCAAGGTCAAACACCACCTCAGCCCTTGTGGGCCTTACTAGTGCCTACTATACTCACCACAGGGTCTTTTACAATGTCTGCCAGTGTGATGATGTTGGGACCGCCTCGCAAATTCTCCAAAATCTTTATTTCACGCTTGATTTTCTTCTTCTTTACTGGCTGAAAGGGTAAAAGTACATCATTAAAAAAAATTATTTCAGGATATTTCAACAGGTAGTATAATACACAAATGGTTTGCTTATGAACTCCTTGAAGGAAGGAAATGTGTCAGACATATTTCTGAATTCCCCTCTCCTAGTCCTGTGCCAGGTACTCTGCAGCTACTTAGCAATACTGAGCTGAAAGAAAATGAAGATTTCTACTCCAAACACCAGAACTCTGCAGAATTAGCATTTAATTCTGATGATCAGTCTTAATGTGTTAACATTAGAATGAAACTTGGGGCTGTTTCCATTCCTTCCTCTAAGTCTTATTAACACCCTACAGAAATGAAGGAAATCAGGACGAGTAGCAAAGATGGCCAAACTATCTTTGTGCAGTATAACCTTTTGGGTTAAATGTGGGCCTGGGAGTCAGACTGCCTAATGTGAATCCTACTTTCATTACCTGCGAGCTGTGTGCTTATGAACAAGTTATATAACCTCTCTAAACCTTTCATTACAGGTAAAACGATCAATAAGAATACTTATAAAATTATTGCAAGACTCAAATGAGACATCTAAAAAGAACTCAGAATATGGCTGAGACATAATATCTGTTAAGCCTTATAACCAACGTATCTTTCATATTCCTTTGTCTTCACCCATCATTTCCACATCTGTTTTAGTACAGAAATCGCTTTCATTTTTCTGAGAAGGGCTGTGGTCCAAATGCACCTCCTCTGCAAAGTCTTCTTTCGAAACAGTCTAAAACAGTGCTGGTCCAAAGAAATACAATGCAAGCCACATGTGTATTTTATTTTTCAATCTATTTTGGCCATGCCACAAGACTTGCAGGATCTTAGTTTCCTGACCAGGGAATGAACTCTGAGGCCATGGCAGTGAATGGACAAAGTCTGAACCACTGGACTGCCAGGGACTTCCTCACGTGTCTATTTAAAATATTCTAGTACCCACATTTTTTTTGTTGTTGTTATGTTACACATAATTTTATTCAACTGGGTCAAGCAGCCATTATATTGGAATAGAAATGCTGAAAAGGAAGACTGTTCAGAGGTGGTATTGCTGTCAGTTAGCATCCACATTTAATATTTTAGGGCTAACCAAGAAAAAATCCAAAATCTTATAATTTCAATATGTAAATCAACAGAAAAATTACTAATGAACAGTTTTATATTCTTTTTTTGGTACTAAGCCTTTAAAACTGCTGTATTTTATCCTTACAGCATATCTCAATTTGGATCAGCCATATTTCAAATGTTCAGTGTGACCTGTGTCTGCCACAATGAACCATGTGAGTCTTTCCTATCAGTTTTGGTCACCTCAGACTACTGACACACAGTATACACTTCTTAGAAATTATTGTAAGCATATAACATCTCTTCTTTAACAAGACTACTGGTCACTAAACTTTGATGATCAACCTGAATTTTTTAATATACAAACTGTACAGACCCACTGAAATCAGAATCTTGAGAAGAAAGATGGAGATCTATTTTTAGACATTTCACAGGTTGATGATTTAGGTCTAGGAACTACTAAACAATACTGCAGACTTTTTAAACCTTGAATCCTAAGCACATGGTACAGCAGAAAGCAGAAAGTTTTGGAAACAGACTCTCCTGAAAACCTGGCTTTGTAGCTGTGCAACTTTGGGAAAAACACTTAAGTGTTTCTGAACTTTACACCTGCCTTACAGAACTGTTGATATAAAACCAAAGCTAGAAAAGGGCCCAACCCCAGTGGGGACTTCTCTGGTAGTTCAGTGGCAGAGAAGTCTCCTGTCAATGCAGGGGACACAGGTTCAATCCCTTGCCTGGGGAGATTCCACATGCTGCAGAGCTACTGAGCATGCATGCCACAACTCCTGAAGTCTGTGTGCTCTAGAGCCCGTGCTCTGCAACAAGATAAGCCACTGCACACACAACTAGAGAGTAACTCCCGGTTGCCATAATTAGACAAAGTCCATACACACCAATGAGGACCTCGGGTGGACAAAAAATAAAGTCCAATGCAAAGTAGGCATTCAACAAATGAAAGCTATTTGATTATACTAACAGTGAATTCCATTTTTAATTCAATCCATGGCCTCAGCCTTGCTTCTATTAGAATTCAGTACACTGGTTTGGAAACTTAGCTAATCATAAGTTTTCTTTTTGCTTCAACTATATCTTTCTCATCTGCTAGAGTATCTAGGAGATGTTTCTCCTCTCTAGGAAAGTCAAACTGTTAGTTGCTCAGTTGTATCTGACTCTTTGCAACCCCACAGAATGTAGCCTGCTAGGCTCCTCTGTCCATGGAATTTTCCAGGCAAGAAAACTAGAGTGGGTTGCCATTCCCTTCTTCAGGGGATCTTCCTAATTCAGGGATTGAATCTGGGTCTCCTGCATTGCGGGAGAAGGCAATGGCAGCCCACTCCCGTACTCTTGCCTGGAAAATCCCATGGACGGAGGAGCCTGGTGGGCTGCAGCCCATGGGGTTGCTAAGAGTCAGACACAACTGAGCGACATCACTTTCACTTTTCACTTTCATGCATTGGAGCAGTAAATGGCAACCTCCTCCAGTGTTCTTGCCTGGAGAATCCCAGGGACGGGGGAGCCTGGTGGGCTCGCATGAGTCAGACACGACTGAAGCGACTTGGCAGCAGCTCCTGCATTGCAGGCAGAATGTACACCATCTGAGCCACCTGGGAATCCCTTTTCTCCAGAAACTAATCCGGTAATCTCTCTTCTGTTTTCTACTAATTAGACCAGGCGGGTCACTTAAACCCTAATTTAATGTGATCAATGCAAATTTTGTCTTAATAAATGGGAGGAGATTAAAAAAAAAAACTTTCCAAACCACCCATCACTAAAGACCATGAATGGCTCCCAACAACCTAGAAGAAACAAAAATTGTAATTTTTTGGCTGGAAGGAAATGCAGAGGTTATTTTTTCCAGGTCATCACTAATTTATTCTCCTTTCTAAATTTACTTCCTATGTATGGTCACATGATAGCTTCCATATGAAACATTTCTCTCACTTATTTCTTCCTCTTTTCTTATCTTGTGCATTCTAGATTATGCTTCCCTCCCACCCTCCCATGCACACCAATCCAAATCCTCCTCACTCAGGCCCTGAAAACAGTTTCAGGGACCTTTCCCCAAGCACCACCACTGTCTTCTACACTGTAAGGCTCACTACTTGTGCCTTTCATATGACTCTAAATGATCTATCACCTCAGTCTATCATATACTTTTCTGTAGGAATATCATTTTATAATTACATAGAACTTCGGTCTCCAAAGTGTATATCTATATACAATTTTGTGTTTGATCCTAATAACTCTGAAAAAGACAGGTAAAGCAAGACTATCTCATTTTCAAAGATAATCACGTCTTTAAAAAACAACTACCATGGCTAATTACTTTTAAAGTGGGATTAGAATCTAAAAGTCCAGATTTCAGCCTAGTTCTCTTCATACACACAATAAGATATAAATACTTAAAACTCTCTGGTTCTTGAAAGGTATGCCAAAACACCCAGAAAATTCACAGGTGCTCTGTGGGCTTTTTAATTTTTGAGGGAAGCACCAGTTAATCCTTGTGGTCCGCCAGTCACGACCAGCTTGGGGTAGTTTCATAGTTTCAATATTACACTGCACTACATTATCGTTGATGGCATATTTTTGTGAAGCTGGGTTTTCAGCAGTTGCTATGACAAACAGCAAGTATGCAAAAATCAGTGTGGAACAGGAAATGAGGCTACCGATGTCCAGTGTGATTCTGACATATGAGAAGCTGTGTAGCGACTAATAGGTATACATATCCCAATAGTAATTAATTATGGTGACAGAAGAATAAAACAATATTACTTTTCTCTTTAACTTCACATGTATAATTTTTTAAAAGGCTACCAAGTTGAAACATAAATACTATTTTTAGTTATTTCTACTTCACTTAATAAAACTATTTCATTTGGCTTAGGGGCACCATCAAAGTTAATGAGGCAATATGGGTGCTATAAATTGAGAAAGTCTGGGGCCCTCTGCTTCTCGTGTCAAATATAGAAAAGTTTCTGTGGTAAGGAACTATATGCTAAGTTCCTGGTATGTGACAGTGCACAGTACAGTTATAACTAAAACAATCTGTACAACAGTAGCCCATGGGCCAATGTGGCCTATACAGTGTTCTATACAACTTGAGTCAAAAAACTGCTCTTGCTTCAGTTTCCTGATTTGTCAAATGAAGATAATCTCTTCTATCAACTTCAAAGGAACAATAAAATAAAGGCATTAAAAGCACTAGAAAAACACCTTCAAATGCTACTTAAAATCTCTGATTTACAATCTTTTTGTACTTACCTTGAGGATTTTAACAACAACTTTTTCATTATTTGTGATGTTGATGGCTTCAAATACTTCACTGTATTTACCCCGACCTAATTTTCTAACCAGCTGGTAGTCATCTTGATTTCTGGGAACAAAAAGAATCAAAGTGTTTTACAAAGTTCAAATTATCAAGGACTAATTCAATTTACAGAACTGTCAAGTGTCAGTCGCTCAGCTGAGTACAACTCTTTGCAACCCCATGGATTACAGCCCACCAAACTCCTTTCCATGGGGTTTCCCACCAAGAAGAATACTGAAGTGGATAGCCCTTCCCTTCTCCACCCAGGGATCAAACCCCAGCCTCCTGCAGTGTGGGCAGATTCCTTATCATCTGAGCCACCAAGGAAGTCCATACAAAACTATACCCAGTAGAGTAAAAGAAATAAAAGGTAGTTCAAATAATTCCTTAATTGGTTTCTTTGTATTTTTTTTAAGCTGGCCAATTAAAAATGTATCTTCCAAATCCAAGAATTAAAAAATTCAAGTCTTTAAGTTATTCTTTCAAATCCCAAGCTGTTTATATTTCTACTGACATACCACACATAGATAGCTTGTATTGGGGCTTGTTATGTATGTTTATCTCCAACAATAGACAGCTTTCCCTTGGAAAATAATTTTTATTATATTTCTGTCCCCCATAGCCTTGCCCACTGTTGGCATCTAGCAAGAAGTCAACACGTGCTGTAAGAATATTTCAATTCAGCCACACTTCGGGAGTTGCTGATTTCTAATGGGTCTCTGCAGATAAGTGACTTTCAAACACATAGGTTTGACTTTCAACTTGTTCTCCAAGGCTCTGAGGACAGTCCATGTACTGGAGTTTGCAAACCACACTAGAACATGAAATCAGTTTGGTGTTCTTCCCGATACTTTCACCCACATTCCAAGACCACTAAGCAACATCGGAGGTGAAAAGGAGTAAGGGAAAATGCCAACACTTTCTTTACCTCTGCTTACAACTTAGAGGAGTTTGCTCTTAAGAATGACAGCCTTTTCAATAAGGCCTAAATGCTATTCACTCCTGCTGGGGACCCTTGAAAATCCAACATGTAAAAAATCCACCATTCATTTTCCTCAAGCAGCTATAAAGAAAGTAAATGAACAAAGAAGGCAAAAGGTACTACGGACAATGGACAATGTAATAATCAGTGCAGGCCTAGGGAAGGAAGCTCTTAGTTCTGGTTGAGTTTTTTTCCTGTGGGAGGGCCTAGAAGACAAATGCAAGCAAGCAAACAGCACTAAGGCAAAAACTCAAAAGGGTTGTTTAGTGTCATTTAAGCAGAACTAAGCACAATGGACTTAATTTGAAGACAGTGGTTGAAATTTCTGCAGTAAAACTCAGATATTCCTAGAGTCCAAAGCATGTGATGTAGAGGAAAACTATTAAGATTATCAGTAACACTTACTGGCACTGTACCACAGTTCTTGATGGCATCTTTGAAGCACACTGAGCTTCCTTGTGCAGAGGCAATATACTTACTGTTAAGAATTACGGCCATCAACATATTAATCATCAGGATTAAAACACACCCTATGATAATTTTTGAAGACTGCCTATAAACACTTACATGCTATGAAAATCACATGTGGACAAATATAAAATGTAACATATAGGAGCTGCAGCTTTACTGAGTTTTCAAATTGCTACCTTTTGTATCTGAGTATCAAAATTATTTTATCACAAAATGTACAACCCGATCAATTATTTAAGTACATAGTATGCTGGGACAAGATATGCAAAAATCCAGAGGAGACTGCACAGAGGATTAGAAGGGCAAATATAGCTGTTCAGGCAGACTGCAACTGTTCAGAATGGAATTGGGGCTGAATTCCATGTTACACATGGCTAGTCTCATGATAAGGGCAAATGTTTTAAGGTTTTAATTTTGCTTCTCATCAGAAAGAGGACACCTTTCTGGAGAACTGTTTTATCCATCAGTATCATCATGGGACAACATCCTCTGACCTCAAAAATTCTTTTATATAAGAGTCTAGTGTTTTCAAACTCTCTCAAGTATTAATTCTCACCTAACTGCAAAGCCTTTAGCTGAGCAAGCTAATAGGTAACTCTTTGTTACCAGCTTTATATGTATCAGAGAAAAAAATAAGAGATTGAAATGATTTTTAAATGATAACCCAACAAAACTGTTAATTTGCCAAAGCCAATAACCTGTTTCTTTTCTGTAGAAGAAAACAAAAACTGGGTTCAATCTTGAGATTTATAAATGCAGTCAGGGAATTTCTGATGTAAATTACTCAACAAATCCACCACAGTCGGCCCTTTGGATGAGAACAGTGAAGTGAATGGAAATGATTACCCCCATTCCACCACATGTGACTCGTAATCCCAGTACTCTCGGGGTCTGTGTGTGTTCACATCTGTGTAAACTCTGGCTCTGCTTGGCACGGGTCCCGACATGTCAGACAGGTTGGCGGACAAAGTTGGACTTGGTATCTGGAGAACTGGCAGTCACTGTGTTGAGAGGCAGCTGGGGAGTAAGACCTTGTTTCAGACCTGTTTTCTTCAAACTGCAGAAACAAAACACATAAAGGCCAAGGAACCATTTTTAAAAAGCATATGGGAAGAAAAAAAGTTATCTTACAGGAATGGTCTCAAGTATACCTCAGGCTCTCTACTGGTTAACCAATGAATGTATCCCAACTGTGCCAATCAGTATTTCCTAAAACATGGGGAAAAAAGTAAAACAACAGAACTCCAAGAAACATATCTAAGCCTATACTGGCCCTGATCCTATCCTACAAAGTAGCCTGTTACCTCTTCATCAAAAGCTTGGATGCTCTTGCAGTCTGAAAGCGAACAATGGCATTGAGGATACACCCATCAGCATTACTACTATTTACACATTCTATTTACACAAAAAGCTTTCAACAGTTTTCTACAGCTCAAGGAGGGGTGATAAACGGCTCTAGAATGGTGGCAAAGTTGAGTACAAACCTTAGTCTTACTCTAATATTTGATGAAACCAGGAAGGGAATAAACACTTGTTCTCATACATCAAAGTTCAATGTTATCTTATTATTTGGGGAGCCTTATGTAATAATTGATAGACACGTGATCACCAATTGAGAAATACACTTCATTAAAGAAAAAAAACAAACAGTAATTTCCTCCTGATTTATTTAATATACGAGCAAGCATAATACAAATTGGTAGAAGACAGTAATATACATTGGTTGAACTAACACAAAATTTTATACCCAGGAAAAGGCGGTGAAATTTCAGAAGTGTGCTTTCTACCAAAGCAGTAAAAAATGAAGTCTCCTCCATCACCAACTACTCCAATCTAGTTATCTCCTTTCTCGAAGAGTCCTATAGCATTTCTTGATTCCCTTTACTCTGCATTTAATTACAAATGTATTGCGGGAACCTCCCTCTGTTTGTTTGATGGGACACTGTCCAATGCATAAATCTGAATAAACACAATCATATTTTTAAAAAATGTAATGAGTCTCCAGGCCATGCATATTTCAGCCTAGATTGTGTAACCTCAATCTAATTACAAGGAAAACACAAATAGAAAATGAGGAAGCTTCTATTTAAAAAAGTCAGCAGTGGGGAATAATATATTGTGCTCTCCAAAAATGTAAATATTATAAAAGATAAAGAAAGGCTAAAGAGACATGGCAACTATATATAATGTCCTACCCTAGACTAGACTGTATCCTGTAATAGAGGGGGAGAAATGCTATAAAAAACAATACTATCAGGTCAAATGACAAAACTGGAATTTAGACAGGTATGTACACAAGTACTTACACATGATAAAGCAAATGGGGTAACATGTTCTTTGTACTATTTTTATTTTGCGGAAACATTTTTAAAAACTATTGTAAAATATATATAAAATTTATCAACTTAAACATTTTTAAGCATACAGTTAAAAGGCATTAAGTACTTTCACATTCTTGTCCAATCATCACATCATCCATCCTCAGAAATTTTCACAGTGCCAAACTGAAGTTCCGTACCCATTAAACACCAACTCCCTCATCCCCGAGCGCCTAATAACCACCCTTCTATTCTCTCAGTCCGACTACTCTAGGTAACTTATACAACTGGAATGGTAGAATACTTGTCCTTTTACATTTGGCTCATTTTTTCATTTAGCATGTCTTCAAGGTTCATCCATGTTGTAGCATATGCCAGAATTTCCTTCCTCTTTAAGGCTGAATATCTCCATTGTATGTATGTATTTTGTCTATCCATTCATTCATTAATAGACACGAGTTGTTTCTACCTTTAGGCTATTGTGAATAATGCTGCTAGAAAAAGTGATGCACAAATATCTTCTGGAGTTTTTGCTTTCAATTCTTCTGGGTGGAATTGTAGATCATATGGCAATGCTATGTTTAATTTTTTGAGGAACCAGCACACTCTTTTCCACGTGGCGGCATTATTTTATATTCCCATCAGCAATGCACAAAGATTCCAACTTCTCCATATCCTCTCCATGTAATGGTTTTTTAAAAAAATAGCAGTCATCTTAACAGGTATAAAGTGCTACCTCATTGTGATTTTTGACTGGTACTTTCCTAATGATTAGTGATACTGAGCACTTTTTCAGGTGTTTATCGGCCATTTATCTTCTTCAGAGATGACTATGCAAGTATTTTATTTAACTGTTTATTTGGGGGGGGGTTGAGATGCAGAAGTTCCTTATATATTTTGGATATATCAAATATCAGATATATTATTTGCAAATATTTTCTCACATTATGTGGTTTGTCTTAAAAAAAAATAAATTTTTATTTACTTATTTTTGGCCATGATGGGTCTCAGTTGCTGTGGTCTTTTTCTCTAGTCGCAGTCCACGGGCTTCTCTGTGCAGTGGCTTCTCTTGTTGCTGAGCATCAGCTCTGGAGCACAGGCTCAGTAGTTGTGGTGCATGGGCTTATTCACTCCATGGCAAGTGGGATCTTTCCAGACCAGGGATGGAAACCTGCAACTCCTGGGTTGCATGTGGGTTCTTTACCACTGAGCCATCAGAGTAGCCCTGTGGTTTGTCTTTTTAAGCTGTTGATTGTATCCTTTGATGCACAAAACTTTCAAAATTTTGATGAAGTCTAACTTGTCTCTTTTGTCTTGTCTGTGCTTTTGATGTCCTATCTGTATTATCTTTATTTTGGTCTCATGTAAATTTGAAGTTACTTCCAAATAAAAAAGTTTTTAAAAAATGAGCATTAGAAAACTGAGGCTCATTTACCTCAGAGGAAAATTTACCTACAATCACACAGCTACTTAATAGCAGAATAAGGACCAGAAACCAAACTTCTGTTTCTTCTGACAGCAACTTATTTTTGCCATGTAATCATAAATTAGTTAGATAACAAAAGCTAATGTCTACAGGCATTCATGATGTGCTTTACGTGAATATTTCATAATCCTTACCACATAAGGAAATGGTAAGGAAAGGTTACTATTCTTTCCAATTTACAGGATGAGGAAAATGAAGTGAAGAAAGATTAAGTAACTTGCCAAAGGACACACAGTTAGAAGGAGCTGGCAATGTTCAACCAGACTACAAATTGAGAGATAATTGTATTCACCTCTTATGTTTGTGGTGAGGATCCAATAAGCTAATAAAATGTCTAGAACTCTGCCTATTTGAGAGCTCAATGAAACTCATTTACAGCAATCTGCATGTTCTCTCCAATTTGTCTCCTTATACCTAGTTTCAGTGGCTTAAAGCTTTAGAGGAAGAGCATGAGAGACCAGAGCAGGGGTTAACCATATACTCCAGAAGTGTGACAGACAGTGATAGTCCCACTCCTCCCACAATGCACGAGACCAAAAAATCCATGTGTCTACTTATGGATTCTCCCATTCATAAAACCCAATATAACCACCACTGTTGACCTCTGGTGGCCTATAAGTATACAATTTATATGGCCAGAAAACAACAACATAGTTCAGATGGTTATTAAAAAGTGGACCAAAACTGCCTTTAAAATATTTCCAAATTATTTCTTTGGTTTTATAAAACAACTTGAGTGGTAATAACCCAATTTATCTTTATCTAATATCAGTTAATTATAAACAGACACACATACCCCAAACAACAAAAAACCAGAAAGCAGACACTTTTAAGTTTCCTTTTTCCCAAAGAAACAAGGTCATTTGTGCTTTAGGGCTGTTGGTTTCTCTGGTGACTATTATCCCTGCACTAAAAGCAGCAAAAGACACTAGGGAGATGAGTAAAGGTGTGTGTATGTGCACAAACAGCCAAAACAGTAGAGACAGCAGCATTAAGCCAGAAGAAATACTGTCCTAGGAATTTATAAATTATAATGATACTAGATACTATTAAATTCTTACCTTCTTCTCTGCAACAGTATTTCCCTCTTCAGTCTCTATATTCCTTTAAAATTTACTCTTTCTGTTGATATTCTATACCTATAAGACGACCTTTAACTGTGGGTCTCAAATCTCTTCCCCTATGAACTTAACAAATTTACAAAATCAGCATAAATTTAATAACTGGGGTTAGATGCAACAGGGTGATGAAACAAGCAGTCAAGTCCTGAGTTCAAATCCCTAATTGGCTGCAGGACCTCTAATGGGCTTCTTCCAGCTTTGATTCATCACTTACAAAACTTGCCTAATTGCACTTGCTCAAGTGAGATGTTCTTCCAAAAAGGGCTCAGAAACACCAAATACAATGTAAATTAACACTGAATGATTACTGTACCATTGCTCCTTTGTGAAAACTAATAAGCAGAAGCCTAGCCTTAAAAGGCTGTGGTCTTCAGTTTTAGTTTTCTTCACTTCATTTACAAAAATTATAGGAGCTGAGGTTAACTCCCAGCCTCTGAGGGCCAACTTATGGGTGGACACGCCATTACAAAATGAGACCTCATTTCTTAATGGAAATCATCTGACTCACATGGAAAATATTCCCCAACTCCTTTAACAGACCAAGTATCAATCACACACTTACCAGCAAGTCCTCAGCTCTCATTCGGCCTTGGTATTCTCTGAGGAGAGCAGAGCAAGCCTACTCACTAATGAAACCCCTGAAATCCTCAAATACCTGTTTAACTGACATTTGCAGCTTTGTGCCTCATCAACAGGGACCTGATTTATTATGAACAGGGGAATTTGATCCTCCACAGGGAGGACAACTGGTTGTTTTGCAGCAACCCCAAGCAGTACTTCACTTTATTGTCATGCATACCAAGTAATCTGCTTAGAATAAGAGTCATTCACATGAATTTCAAATAGCTGGCCTTCGTTAATTATGCGGGGAGAAGAAAATGGGTGTGTGTGCATGTGTATATTCATGAACTACATAGCCCAGCAACTTCAGGTAAGTAAAATGGTACAAGGAGGGGTGAGGGAGGGTGATGGAATGGAGTAAGAGGGGACGTGAAGATGGAAAAAAGAAGATAAACATTATT